ATAGTTATTATTATATCCATTAACTCTAATTATAAAAAATGAAGACAGAAATATTACTATAATAACAAATTCTTCAAACGTTATACCCTCCAGCTTTTATTTTGGTGGAAAACCGCAAGGAGACCTGTGAAATCTGTTTAGTTGACAACAGATTTCTAAACGCTTCTCATTACAAATTTGTTAGGATGCTGCAAGCTTATGTCAGACAAAATGTTGGACATATGAATGTGAAATAAACTGCTGCCGTTTCAGTGGAGCAGCATTTACTGTGAAATGAGCTGCTCTGAGACACTGAAAACACTGGATCATGAGCTGCTAGTGAGAACTCCGTTCTTCATTCTGAAACACAGGCTAAGTTCCAGCCTTTTTCGATTTGATAATCGCACTAAGCTCTATTGTAATTTTAATTTTATTTTGATTAATTGTGTAAATGTATTTATTTTAATTTCACATTTTTAAGATTTATTTAATTATAAGCTTTTCATCAACTTACAAACCTCAGGATGTTCCCTTACAAAACCTTAAAGGCCGGGACACACCAAGCCAACAGTCGGGCTGTTTTTAAAGGGTTAGTACTGCCAGTAAGTACTCACCCTCATGTTGTTCCAACCCCGTAAGACTTTCGTTCATCTTCGGAACACAAATTAAGATATTTTTGATTAAATCTGACAGCTGTCTCACTCCTCCATAGGCTTCTATTGTAATTGAAACTTGCCGGCCCAAAAGTTAGTAAAAACATCGTTAAAATAGTCCAAGTGATACTGTGGCTCAACCTTAAGCCAGCATCACCGACATGACCAGCGTCAGCCAATAGTGAGCCTACGTTCTGACATACTACCCAGAAGCGCTGCGCTGTTACACTACGTGAACTCACTCAGAGGCCCACATAGAAGAAAATGAATAGTTGTTATTTTGGGGGGGTTTTGCGCACAAAAATTATTCTCGTCGCTTGATAAACTTAAAGGGATACTTCAGGATTTAGCATTAAGCTTTGTATCAGTAGAAAACCAGTAGTATTTTCGATTTACCGTGCTTCCACCCCTCATATCCCCCTGATATGAGAGAAAAATGAATTTTTAGTCTGGAAAAAAATCCTCCGATGACGCAAAAATCGTCATTTTGCGTCATCGGAGGATTTTTGTGCCAGAGGCTAAAGACTACAGCCAGTGTTCCGCATGTTTTCACCACGCCCATATGGGGCGGGATCTCACTCACAGAATGTAAAGATAGTGTCAGCCATCTTTCTGTAGAAGCTAAGCTAACAAGCTCTTGGCTCTTGGTCTGTGTAGAAAGTTTGTATAGTAGGCTAATCACGATGGCGGAAGGTAGTTTTGAAGTTGTAATGGCAGAAGGGGATTTCGAAGATCAGTTGCGGGAGATGGAGGAACAAGAGGCGGCCAGAGCGAGACCTGAGTCAGGCCAGACTCGAGCTGGGGCGGACTGGCGGTGTCAGTGCTCTCGCTGTCCGCCTATGGAAACAGATATAGAGTCCTATTGCTGTCGCGAATCTCAGCGATGCCATTTTCTCTGGACGAGATCGCTGAATCCGCAGAGCTTTTAGTGTAAAAGTGTTAATATTAATTATTTTTTTTAATTAAAAGTTATAACTCACATTTGTTGTGGTTCTTTTTATAAACCTTTAGTGTTACTAGAGTATGGATTAGCCTAGATAATGCATTAGCTTAGATAAATAGTGATTTCAATTGGAGGAAAACAGTTCATATGCAGAGAAGCTACTCTGTTGACATGGTCCTGCCTTGCATCATATTTTTAATGTGAAAGTCTAAGTTGTGTTAAATAAATTAGGCTAGTACATCCCGGTACAACGCAATTTAGCACCGTTTCGATGGAAATTTATCAAATAACTCATGATGTATCAAAGCAAGCCTAGTTGTATCCATTTTTCGGATTCTGCCGCCTGTAACCGGTAGGCGTGGTTTGGGAGTGGCCTCGTAAGGGCAGCAAAGCAAGTGCATTCTGGGAGTTGTTGTCTTTCAGCCACATGAGTAAAAAATACATTTTCTACCTTTTCTCAGTCTAGAATATTTTTGAAATTGAAGCAATTTCACATTTCTACTATATAAATGACCAATATTAAATACACATTAATCTTCCCAGAGGTGAAGTATCCCTTTAAGGTTGAGCCACTGTAGTCACTTGGAATATTTTAACGATGTTTTTACTAACTTTTGGGCCGGCAAGTTTCAATTACAATAGAAGCGTGAGACAGCTCTCAGATTTAATCAAAAATATCTTAATTTGTGTTCCAAAGATGAACGAAAGTCTTACGAGGTTGGAACAACATGAGGGTGAATAATTACTGACAGAATTTTCATTTTTGGGTGAACTAACCCTTTAAGCCTCGGTTGGCTTATTTTTTGGCTCTAGTCTAGTCGGACGGCATCAGGGTTTTTTGTTTGGGCCGATTCAGCATGTTGAATCGGTGTCCGCCATCGGTGAGAGAGAGAACTCTGATTGGCTGTTAAGCTTAGCGAATGAGAATAAAAGTGATGAAAGCAAGCAAAGAAGTCAAGACTGTACAGACAGAGGGCTGTTATAATTGTACATCATCTTACCTGATTAATCGAATGCAAAAATATTTTGATAGTAACTTAAGCCGACTGGAATGAAGAAAGTGATCAGCATTATTGATATTGAAAATGGTAAGCAAGTGCTGCTTTGTTTACGGTTTGTATACCTGCAGTCCTAGTTTTGTTTTTTCTTTTTAAAAGACGAAAATAGACTATTGATACCTGCTGATATAGACAGATATTAACTGACGCGCAGAACGCACGTTGACAGTCGCCTTTAGTCCTTTTGGTGTGTTCAATAGCAGCTTTTTGCCTGAGACACAGTCGATGATAGACACAGTCGGCTTTCGTCGCCACTAGTTCTTTGACGTCGGCTTGGTGTGTCCCGACCCGAGCTTAAGGGGTTCAGTATATAGTATATCAATATGATACAGCAAGTTCTCTGATTGATGGATCTCACTTCATAATTGTGGGTAATGTAGTATTTCATTCTTAATGTGGCATTTAAACCTTTTTTTATTTTTTATTATTAAGGTAAAATGACACTGACTTGTGAGCTCATGGTATGTCTGTACAGAGAAAATGAATGCGATTTTTACTTCCGGACTATTGCGCTATATCTGTGTCCTTCACCAGTAAAAGCTGTTAACTGTAGAGATACTGTTTGTTTGGCATCCATGCAAGGGTTTACAGGAGTCCGGTTGCTGTAGGCCCCAAGAATGTGCCTCTTCTCATGTGACCTATAGATCCTGCAGCGGTCTCGTGCACATCTCACTATGCAGGGATAACATGACAATCTGTCACTGACACTGAAAGAAGCCCATGCAAACAAAGGGAGAGATAGCGAGCAAAATGAGAGCCCAAGACGGCCTTGCCCCCTCTCGCTCTGCTTCGAATTTCCACACTTATTAATGCGCACACTCGTGCATGCACAATGTGCGTTATTGTTGTCATGACAGCTGCATTTTCCCTTTGCAATCGGCCTTTTGAATGTTGCATGGACGTTTGTCTGATTAAACAACTAAATTGTCTAGTTATTCAGCATCCTATGGACTTTGGTGTGGTGAGGTACAGTTCTTCTCGTGAAACTGAGTATAAAGGGGATTATAAAAGCTTCAGCACACTGTCAGGCTTTGATTTGGCTGGGGGATGGGGGAGCTTTGGGGTTAGTGGCTTCCTCTGAATCCAATTTAAAACCTGTCCAGACACCTAATAGCAGGCAGAATCACACAGCAAACGTGATTCTGATGAATTAGTCTCATTGCCGACATGTTTTGTTTCATTCATTTGCTGTAATTTTTTTTTTTTTTTTTCATAGAGAGGGCCTCTGTGGGATGTTTGTTTGTTTGTTCTGGGTTGTATTTTGTAGTAGATGGAGAATGCATTGCTTTTGTTAGATTAAATATGACTATAAGACTATTTGATTAAAAATATTTTGGTAACACTTTACAATAAGGTCCAATTAGATTACTTTAGATAATGCATTAACTAAAATGTAGCTAACAATGAGCAATACATTTGTGACAGTATTTATTGATCTTTGTTAATGTTAGTTAATACAAATGCAACTGTTCATGTTAGGCCAGGTCTATTAAATAATATTTACAGATACAAGGTTTGATTTTAATAATGTATTAGTCAGGGATGCACCAATATGAACATTTTGGCCGATACTGATAACCTATAATTCTTTATATTTGAAAGCCTATAACCTATATACCGGTATTGGCTGATACATGTAAATCCAAATTTTTATAGAAATTGAGAGCCTGATTACAAAAACAAAAATCTCACCATTTAAAAGCCATGTCCCAAGCACACAATTACAATGTTCCATGTAGCCTAAATGACAGACTTGCGTTGCATATGTTGGACTTAACTGTATTTTCCTTTTATAAAGTGATTTCAATCATATTTCAAGCCAGTTAAAACCATCATGATGAACAGTGCGCATCTGAAGTGTCTCAGCTGAAGGATATAATCCATTATTTATAGGCTTTAATATTATCGGACAAATTTTCTTATCGGGCCGATAATGATAACATAATAGTAGTAAATGTTGAAATTACCATGAACTAAGGTTAATATGTACTTTACAAGAATAATTTGGTTACACCTTATTTTAAGGTGTCCTTGTTATGGTGTATATATACAATTAATTACCGAGTAATTAAGTACTAAAGTACTGAGTAATATTAATTAACAACATAATTGTGCATAATTTAGTTTTTTTCTAAAGTAAGTAGTTAAAGTGTAACAAGGACACCATAAAATAAAGTGTTATTATATTTTTCATTGTTCGTTTTTTATTAATGTAAATGGAACTTTATTGTGTTACCAATATTGCTAAAAATAGTTCGCAGTTCAGATGTTCCTTGAACCTGGAGTCATTCTATTTTGTTAAGTTTGGCAGATCATGGATCTGTGGAAAAAGGTTTGATTTGTGTTGTCTTTGTGTGTTCCCTTCAGCATATGTTAATGAAGCAGCAGGATCGCATTGACGATCGAGTGAAAGACATCGAGGAGCAGCTGTATAAGTTGGAGTCTGACAAAGTACTGGTGGAGGTAAAGACACATTCATACGACATGCACACACGCTTCTGTCTTACTCTGTCTATCACCCTCTACTGCAGCTAATAAATATGGAAGAGGCTGGTTTTGGTATGACATTGGCAGCGTCTGTGCTTAAACTGTATGTAGACCTTTTCTCCCTGTCTGCAGTTTTATGTTTGTGTTCAAGAAAAATGTATTAGACAAGTGTTAATACTACAAAATAATACTGTCAAGGAGGAGGTCTGGTCAAATTCCCCTGGTCTCGGATTTGGATCCCCGTTCGCTTATACAATGGCTGCTGTTCTTCCAGGGATCCACTTAAAAATATGAAAATGACAATGAATATTCAAGAAAAGTTCAAATTTAATGAAGCAAATGCAATCAAATACATAAATGCTTTTCATTCAACATGCTTACATGAACCAGAATAACATTTCCAGACAAAATAATATTTTTTTTATTTAAAATGTAAACACAAAAGTGAAAGTCACGTATAGAAAACTAAGTTGTGCTGACACATTAGGCTATGAAATGAAAATGAGAACAAAATAAAACTTTTTGTGACTGACTCATATCGAGCGACATTATGTCCAGCACTTTTTGATACAAATGTTGCCAGTGTTGTTATTGTTAACTAAAACTAAAACTATTAAAAATGTTTTCGTTATTATAATAAAGTACAATATAAATATTAAATGAAAAACCTAGTACTCAAATTACTAAAACTAAAATAGAACTAAAAAAAATTTTTTAACTAGTAAACATGACAGCACATAACAAAATGATTTAAACTGAAACTAAAATTAAAATGATTCAAACTAATTCAAAATATGAATAAACAATATAATAGTATACAGCATTATTTACTAAAGTTAGTATATATAACTATATTGTTTAGAATATAAATAATCCTAAAATGACATTTTATGTTCATAAGGACAAATATAGCAAAATACAGTTTAATGGCCAAAGTAAAAAGTTAATTTTGGACCCTGTATATAAGCTTTTCTAAAGTCAAAAGGTGGTGTGTGGTTACAGATGATCTTGTGAAAGTATATGAAATTTTTTAAGAATAATTTAGATAGCACAGATACACATTTCAATCTTCTGTGCATCTCACAGGCTATTAAACCTCAGTGAGCTGCACTACAAACACTTTTACATGTCCTCTTCTGAAACTCTATAGCAGATGTGAAATTACTTAAATTTATCTATTTCTCAGATGTTTATCCTGAGAAAAATCCCAAGTGCCCATATTAGCCGCTTTCCGACCAAGTAGTTACAGGAACTTAGTTATAGGAACTGTCCACTTCTAAACAGTTCTAAGAACTACTCTCCCCCAAACTCGGTTTTGCTGTTTGCGTTCGCACTGGCCAAGTGGCCATAGGAACTGGAGGGGTAAGGGAGTGACGCAAGCACGGCGGCGGCGGCGCCACATACAACAACAACAAACCAGCATGGAGGAGGCTATCGGAATGTTCCTGATCTGCCTTGCCGGGACCTTAATAACGGAGTACGAACGGCGGCGTTTAAAGACTATGCTTGAGTTATGTACAGAGAAACACAGAAGACGAAGGCTCCAGCGTAATATGATCTTAAGTAATATAATGGAAGAAGATAGAAGAGCAGAGCGCAGGAGGCAAACAAAACGACGGGTAAGTTTAGCAAGCATTAGCAATTAGCTGGTTGAATGCGTTATGTTTGTCTTAAGTTATGAGTTAGCATAGCATACATAGGCGAATTGCAACATACAGTGAAGAAAATGTGTTGACAGTGGGCGTGACTTATAAGTTGAACCAATCAACGTAGACCTAGGGAAAGGGAACTAAAAAAGTCCTCGCTCTAGACTAGGTACTGAAAGAGTTATAGGAACTACGGTCTGAGGAACTAAAAAATCCCCAACTTAGTCCGGTCGGAACACGCGAAAAAAAGGGTTATAGGAACGTTAGGTTCTAGGAACTGCAAAAGTCCCTCCGGTCGGAAAGCGGCTATTATGCTATTTTAATGGTTCCTTGTTTTGTTTTGGAGGTCTCCTACAATAGATTTACTTCCTTCTAAGGTCAAGTTTAATTTTCTGATAATATACATTGCAGCATCACCTTTTTTCTCACAGTGTCTGAAACGGTATGAATAACAATTCGGTCTCCATAAACCCTGCCTTTCTGAGAGCCTACTCTGATCTCATTGGTCAGATGGCCCAGTTTGTTTTGATTGGTCTACCACTTACACCCCATGTTGGAAACAAAACGTTCATTACTATATCTGAATTTCAGCTCCGCAGGATTCCTCAGCACTTGTACACACAGTGATACGAACAGTAACGATGGTGTTGGTTTTACAGTGTTAATTTGAGCTCGAGTCCTCATCCTTTGGAAGTGGAAGCCTGCAAAGTGGATTTGCTTTCGCAGCGCAGAAAACAGCGTTGTCTTGACATGTCGACAACGCAAACCAAACTCTTCTAGGCCTCGTCTACAACTACAGTGTTTGAGACTGGTCAAAGTAGACGTTGTTTGCGGGCAGCCAATAAAGACCATAGGCTGACATTATGCAAATTTGTTAGACGCCTACGTAGGTTTGTGCAGGAAGTAAGACTGGAATTACTGACGACGACTCGTTTCAGGCAGTTTAGAATCACTTTTTTCTTTTGGGAGACACTAACTCCATATATCTTATCATCATGCACTTTGCTCTTTAAAACTTTGCAGACCTTTTACATTCACAAACAGCTAAATAATACACTATATGAAAAGTAATATCCGAGCATAATTGGGGCACTTAATTTTTCCCCCCATTTAATTTCACTGCTGTCTGAGCAAAATAACGGAGTCATTAAAACAATAAAATCTGTGATCATTTTCCTTTCCTTTCCTACAGGGAGATATTTGTTAAAGTTTTCACATTTAGGGAAACTATAGAAATTCAGTGCGCACCTTGTGTTTGTTGTGCAGGATAAGGTACAGCAGCTGAAGGAGGAGGTGCGTGTGCAGTATCACAAAATGCACCAGCTCTTAGAAGACGACCTGGGGAGAACTCTGGAGGTGCTGGATAAAGCACACTCCAAATACTGCCAGGAGAACTCAACCCAAACCCTGCAGCTCAATGCACGCCGTCAGGAGGCCAAGAAACTGCTCAGCTCTGTCCAAGTTGTGTTTGACAAGGCGGAGAATATTAACATCATGAAGGTGAGGTCGATTCTCTCTTTCACCCTTCACAGAGGACTTCATCTGGTCATCCTTAACTGCCTATTTTATCCTAGCCCTGTGTGTGCAATTTGAATGTTGCAGGGGGATTAATACATGTCTAGCAAGAATAAAATGGTGAAATATTTCAATATTTCCTTACGTTTTGATTATTAAAAGTGATGTCACGGTTTCTTGGGCTTCAGACATAGTGATATTTTTACATTTACCATTTTCCTTAAGCACACTCTCCTTTTGACTTTTCCTAGAAATCCCCTTGCACTCACCCACATACTGTCATAAACACACCGTGTGAATGTGCCCATACCTGTGAGAAATGCTTCCTTGTCTGTGTGTGTGGTTGTTATCAGTAGATCTGCTCTTCCAGATTTTTCCATGTTTACAGACAAAGGGGCAGTCAAGCAGGAGCTTGTAGAGGAAGATTAATATTGTGCTCTGTTTTGTTTTGCTTTGTAGAACACAAAACCAGTGAAAATACTCATGGACAGGTATGAACCGAAGTGCAGAAATTGATTGAAATTGAATACTTTTATTGAATATTTTTTGAATGTTTAGTAATCTGTTGATGTCAAATGGTCTTTTTACAGATCAACATCATGTACAGGCAGTGTTCTGCCTCCTTACAAAGTGGGTCATCTTAATTCCAAAATATTCCTGTCTGAAGTCTCAAAAAAGGAAAAGAACTTGAGAAAAATACTGGAAGGTTAGTAAAAACTTACTCAGTGGCTCAGTAACTGGTGGGTCGCACAACTTATTGGTCTCTAATTGGGTCATGAGTTCTGGTGTAAAAGGTTTGCACCTATGAAACCAGCATGAATAAAAAGATTGTTGACACGTGATTGAACTAAAAGATTTTTCATTATCTCTTATTCATCATTGACCCTGGAATGCAGTAGCACCTCAATGCAGTACATAAGATCCAAGGGGTGGAGATGGGTAGGATTAGGGGTGGGTTTAGGGATTAGGGGTGTGTTTAGGGATCAGGGGGTGGAGATGGGTAGGTTTAGGTATATGTAAGGTGGGAGGAGTTGGATCTGGATCCGACTCCTCCCCGTGGATTTTAATGTACTGCATTGAGGACCATCTCCTGGAATGCCCTCATCCTCAAAAATTTTAAAAACCAATAAAACATTAGTTAGCTGTTTACACAACACCTTTTTCAACTTAAAACCGAAAACTTTTTGTGCATTTTGGACAACCCAAACTTTTGAAAACTGGTTTCAAAGTGAAAGTTTTTGAAAACATCACATTATCATGTATTATTACGTTATCATCTCCATGTAAACTACAAAAACGTTAATTTGTGAAAATGGTGATGTCATGCGCATGCGTACTAGCCTAAGAAAAAATAAATGTTGGTTTTGGGGACCTTTTTTAAACTTTTATATGATAAGCAATTTTGAAGCACAACCAATTGAGAACCACTTACTTGGCTTGCAAAAACATTTCTGTTCAACACATTGTTTTTTTCCACGAATCAAACTCATTGTCCTCATCCCCTTGTTTCCAGCACCATTCAGTACTCCCGCACACTTCCTCCAGAGCATATCTGTCCACCCCTCCAGTGTGAATACCTCCGGGGGTGAGAAACGCAAACACTCCACAGCCTTCCCTGAAAGCAGCACTAGCCTGCTGGATTCCTCGTCAGGCCCCATGAGCAAACAGCAGTTCCTGGGTCAAGGTTCCAGCTCCACAGACGGGCCGACGTCACAGCCGCCCTTGGCTCCCTGTAGCTCCACCCAGCACATTGTAGGCCTCAGCAGTAGCAGCAGCGCCCAGTCGGTCCATCATTCCAGCTCAGTTTTTACTCCAGCTGACTACCCCAATCCCAGCTCCTCCCAGCAGGCCATGCTGCCCCAATACGGTGGCCGTAAGATTCTCATGTGCACGATGGACAACTGCTATTGCTCTAGCGTCCCCTCCATATCGAACCACCGTGGCCATCCTCCCTACCCTCGCTCGGGATCTTTCCCTTGGACACAGGATTACTCGCACCCCCTGCCCTCCACGGCCTCAATGTCCCAGCCCCTCCAAGGGCTCTCCATGCACGACTGGATCGACGCCTCACAGAGCCACAGGCACCCTGATTTCTATGGATTGTATGGGCAATCTTCCACTAAACCATACGTCACCAGTTAACCTTCCACTGCATCTCCGGTTTATCTCCGATATCTCGCTCATTTCCTCCATAGACCTTTTTCCCGCCTGTTTTTTAAAATCAGGCTTGTTCACTTAACAATTGCAAGGAAAACAGCACTTTTTATCATGCAATGCAAGCCTCTCGGCTTAAAAACTCAGATCTCTTCCAACTTAAGCATTAAAACCCTGTCTGTCCCTGTGTAAAATAATAAGGGAATCTTTCTTTGAGAAATGTGGAGGCGGGACCCAGCTGAGTTTTTAAAATTACAAACAGATTTTGGATAATTGCAGAGGGTTTTGACCCAGAGCAGATAATGATCACTTGTAAACGGAGTTAGTTTTAACTCTTCACCTCCCCTCTTCTTGAATCTGGTTGGTTTTTATTATGTGCTAAAGATTCCTTTTAACATTGCTATTAATCTTCTGCAGTTTTATTATCAGTAGATGGGGAATGTTGTTATTAAAAAAGAGGGATAGAGTCTGTTTATTATTTATCATATTTCACCTCTACTGCACCTTCAGATTTTGGGCTTAAGTTTCTGCTGAACCGCTCCACAGGTTACCGCGATTATGGTTTGACGTGTTACTTACATTCCTTAGAGGCCAGAGGTTCTTGTTTTTCTGTTATGTTTACAATTATGTATTAATAATTTTCATTAATTTTCAGTAGGTTGGAAAAGATCAGTACAAAAACTCAATCCAGGTTCTTTGGAGGCTTCACTCAAAGAGGTTCCACCAAGCATGTTATGAGCTATTGCATCTGAAGTACTTCTGGATTCTGCTTCCTGTCAGATAATGTTATTTCCTGCATTTAAGCAAATGTGAAGCATGTTCAGGATGATTGGTGCCTACACACACCTCTGAGTCTTATAACGGTGTAGATATACTTCCTGTTTTAATCGGTGACGCTGAAGCCCGAAGGGGTCTGTAGTCACCGTGGAACACTGATTGTTGTGAACATGCTGGAAAAAACTTCCTGTTTGTAGGCATGCAGGAAGGCCTTTCTGTGCACTCAGAACTCCAAAAAGACTTGACTGAGTGAGACTAGAGAACAGTTGACTTTTTTTCCACATATTTTATACAAGAAAACTGGATGCATACATTTGGAAATCGAAATAAATGTGCTTCAAAAGAGTATTAAATGCTGGTTTAAACAGATGTGTGTGAGAAATCTTTTGTAATTTTTCAATGTAGTTTTCTTTTTGGCGGCAGAAGTCATGGCTCTAAACTATGGAGTGGTTCTCAACCAGGGAGCCTCAGCAAACTTCTAAACATGACTTAAAACAAGACAAAAGCATTCAATTAAGATGAAACAACTAAAAATCTAGATATTTTTCTTTGAAGAACCAGTTACCACTTTCTTGAAAAACCTAGATATATGAGGTAGCCTAATTTGAAAAACAAAAATGTTAATTTATGCCAAGCTCTAAAAAATATATTGTGTTGCAGATCCAACTAAAATCCCATAAATCAAGCACGACCCTGTTCGTCTTTGACTTGGATCATTTGCCTAGACCTTGTTGTTGATTATTAAAACAGGTTTGGAGGTTATATTTGAAGTAAAGTTAATCATTGTTTATAATATAGTAACAGCATTATGGGCAAGTCCGAAGCAAAAACTTGAGCGAAATATGTGGCTTCCAAAAGAAAAGAAAAAAAGCCGAGACCACTTTTAAATCATTTAAATATAGCAGCCTAAGGACTGATGCCAGACTTTCCAGCTCTTCCTCATGGGTCAATGGGGGCATCAGTCACATTTTTCCATTAAGGCATGGTGGGATGGGGGCGCAGGGCCGGCTGAGGTAGAAAGGGGATGGGGGAAGTAATCAGGCTTGAAGAACAGCTCATCATTTATTTATAAAGTGTAACGTTCCAGCCCCTCTCCTCCCACAAACCCCATAGATTCATGTGCTCTCAAACCAACACAGTCAACATTTTGTGACCAATTAGAAATCCGACTAGACTCTACCCTCTTTTTTCCCCCTGCTTGCTGTGGGTGGATACGCCATATGCTCCGAGAGCTCTACAATGGGTTTGTTTTTCTGAGCTCTGCCGTCCCATGATGCTAATCACGCTGGCTGCTCATGCTGGCTCATTGCAGCCCGTGGGAGGACTGAAGCCTGCCGGAAGGATCGATTGCAAAACACAACAGAGGCTGCCCGGCTTAGCTCCTCTGTACATGTGATCACATACGGATGTATGTGAGGCCTGACGTGAAAAGGAAAATAAAAAGCACTGCAAACATGGGCATTTTTCATGTAAAGGAGTTGGTGTGAAAATGTTAGAGTGTGGACATGTTTGTACAAAGGCTTCAAGGTCTTCTGTACCTTTTGAGCCCAGCACAGACCAGCTGTAGTCTAAAGCCTCTTGTTTTTCTGCAACAGTCACATTTGCTTACTCTTCCTTTTCCATCAATTATTAAAACCTGCCCTGTTATTATTGGGAACGATGTCCCACGATGATGGCTTTGCTGGTGGGGATCACGTTAGCACTTTTCAGATTTGTATTGCTCCGTGTTTAATGTAGTTTGAGAATGGACACGTGTTTTGCAGACTGAAGGCCTTTTCACACTAACACAAATGTTCAGCGGGAAAAATCCATCTAATTTTTGCATGATTTGTCTGTTCCGGATTCAAACATTTTTATTTGAACTAGTGCTCTCGGTTTATGTTAATTTTTACAGGGGAGTTATTATCTTTTCCATCGCACTGCGAAGAAAACTGTCCAAACATTCGATTCATGCTTTTGGTCATATGGTGCTTTTCACTGTTGCTTAGAAAAATAGTATGTGTGATTGACTTCAACTGTGGCTGGATTTAACCGATTGACAAGATTTGCCGATTGCAGGCAGGGGAGGGGTTGAAAATGGACACTTTCTCCTTCCCGTAGTGTTACTTGCACTGTTTGCATACTTTATCACAGATGAAGTGGATTAGCTGCAATATTTGTCAAATACACAGACATTTAAGATGTTTTCATGTAGCAACAGAAACCACCTTTGCAGTGTAAAATAGACGCTAGTCTGTTCGCGAGCACCACCAAGTCGTCATTTTATATAACAGTTTTCTTTGCAGTGTGATGGAAAAGAGATTAGAACACCTCTCTGTTAATAAAAATAAATGTAACATTGACAACGTGTGAATGTTCGTGTCGAAAAAGCCATTCATTGCACCAAAATTACATTTATCTTGGTGTGTGAACAGGCTATGAGAGTAGAGGAGAACAACAGAAATGATACATAGCCCTTTCTCAAAAAACAAAACAAATTCCCAGAAACCTTAGGGGGATCTGCCTGAAACAGAGCAGGCCGAAGCTGCTGACTTTTCAGTGCTGCCAAATGGTATGTGCTTTTTCTTTTTTCTTTTGATCAGATGGTTATTTTCCATAAAACAAAAGGTGAGTATTTGGGCCTTTGCTGCCATACTGGATGCATCAAGAAGGATTAGAGTTTACCCTACAAATGTAATACGTCAAATGGATCACAAGACTTTGTGGACCCACCTGTATTTAGTGCTGACCACTTCGGCTGTAAATCTGAGACAGATGTTAATACCAGATGTATGTAGGGCCATTGTTTTTGCTGCTTCTCATTCTCATATTGCTTTACGCTGATACGAGTGAGCAGGAAAGACAGAGAGGCAGAACGTTTTTAAACGATTTTCAGAAAAAGGGAACACTGAAAGAGGAGACGATAGGGAAGAGAGGAGTCAACATCTAATTTGGAATGTCTGTCAGTGCCTCACATGCTCAATAATCTATTTACCATGCAGAATTAAGATTTCTGCTATCCAGCACATTGCAGCTCCAATCCCTAAAGCCAGGATGGATAATCCAAAATCCCTCTTAGAGCCTGTGAGGCCAGTCCTGGAGCAAAAGAGGCAGGCGAGCTGCAGAGGCCTCTGGGTACTTCAGAGATCAACCCACGGCAACAACTTAACTTAAAAAGAAGCGGGAAAATCATAGACTTGGCAACACTGATCTTCACACCGATCATTTCCATACACTTAGAGTTCATAGTGACCAGGCTGTCAAACTAAACAAAACCAAAAAAAACATCAGATGACAAATGATACAATACGTCATAGTTTTGTGTGAGGAACAGTTTAAAATGATCATTATTCACTGATAATCTTCCCCTTTGTGGCAGCTCTTTCTCGTACACTGCTGTTCAAATGTTTAGGGTAAGATTTGCATGTCACATGATCCTTTAGAAATCATTTGTGCTCCGAGAAACACCATACAGGTTTGGAATGACAAGAGGGTGAGTAAATGCTGAAGGAATTTTCTTTTTCTTTTCTTTTTTTAGTGGCGAACTGTCCCTTTAAGAATCTGCTGTTCCTATCTGTGTATTTTGTTAATACCAAAGATTTAAAAGCCCTGGTTAAATAAAACATTGAACTATAGGCGTAGCAGTAAGGCTTACAGGAAACACTGCGTGTCTGTTTGAAGGCTGAATTCCCAGGCTCCAGTGTTAATAATTTGGAGATACTCGGGTAACAAAGAGGGCAGCCAGAGCAGCAGATTTCCCTCTCGTCTCCAGTTACTCATTACAGGAATATGAAACCAGAAGATCTCTGTAGCATTTGCTGGCCTGACAAGCCCTGCACTGTGTGTGGATGTCTTTGATTAGGCTTTGGAATTAGAAGTGTGATGTGTCATAGAGAAGATGGATAAATGCGCAGGGCTTCGGGCCTGCTAATGCACCGGCAGCTGCACAACAGCTGACAGGCTCCCGGCGGAGCAACAGCATTAAAACACACCTTCAGCGAGGCCCCTACACTGAGGCATGTACACACACACACACACACACACACACACACGGTTGCCATGGTAACACACACAGCTGTCAATAGCATCAGACCACACCCCAGTGAACAGGCAAATACACACCAATGAAGTGATGTATAGTGATGAGTTGATGCTCACAAACACACTACATCTCCATTCCTCACCCTCTCTCTTACACAAACGGACATGAGCAAACTTGCTCTTGAGCTTCATATGGAAAAATGATGACACATGGGAAATATTAAGCCATTCAAACTGAAACAGTTAATGTGATTATGTTCTGTAAATGAAAGATGTCATCATCTCATTAGACATGGTTACACTGGGAGTTGAGGCACAGCTCTCTCTTCCCGTTCTCCTTACTATTACAGCTATCTGTGTGTTGCAATGTTCATTTTGCAACTTTTACTGTAAAAATTACAAATCGCTACACATACTGTACATGGTTATTAATCATCAGGCAAGGATGATTACAAGAAAAGACAACACAGGCTGAAAAGGAAATGGGAAATGTCATCAAAAAGACAAAAGGTAGTCATTGCAACGTCATTGGATGCTTTCCGTAGGATTCATTAAATACAAACTGATGATGGTTTTTTTTTTTTGGATTTCTTTTTTAAGAGACTTAAAATTGGCATGGAACCGAAATTTTAATAGGCTCCATCCGAAATTGTATACTTCCCTTAGTATGGGACAAAAGAAGTGTGTCCGAATTCACAGTAGGCTACTAAAAGAGTAGACAAAAAAATACCCGGATGACCTACTACTTCCGGTGAGATTCTGAAGTGTGCATTCGATGGACACTTTACTATCCCATAAGGCCACAGGAGAGGATTTGTGAATGCCAGTGATGCGAGGCAACTGACACTGATTGGGCATGATAATGACAACATGGCAAATGTAGTACGTCTGAATTACCTTCATACTGAATTACCTGAATTAACCTCATAATTACTTCTTCAAAATAAGTCCCTACTCAAGAGAGTATGCAATTTTGGATGGTGTCATCTTTTCTACCCTATTGTGACATATATCTGAGTAAAACGGTTTCTTGAAAGAGAAAAAAAAGAGGGTGGGAATTTTGTCTATTGGGCAATCTCCGCCGCCATTTTGAAGTCTGTTCAACTTCGTTAAGTGGGCAAGGGAAGCTTATTTGGACAGACCCTCGGACCCTCGATTTTGACAGAGGGAGCAAGTCTTCTCAATATGCACTTCAGGCAGATCCATAGACCACACTGCAACGCGATTGTGATATTACAGCAGATCACACTTAATTTATCAACACCTAGTGTATGGATTTGGAATTATTTTGACATTTAACTGCACAATACTTAGTTATAAGTTTATTGTATCGTTATCAACAGCCCAAGCATATAGACAGGCCTATAGAATGGTGTGTAAAAAAATGTACATAATAAATTAGCTTCATTGCGGATTCCAAGTGATCAAGGGCTTAGGGCACATTTCAAGGGTTCCAGTAGTGGGTATTCGTGCAATGTTAGCAGTGATGTACATCTGAGTGAAGGGGACGGAGGGAAGTTAGCGAGGGAAGGGCATAAAAAATTGGACTTAAGCTCAGCCATGATCAGAGAGATGTAGGCCAGAGCGAGGGTGAGTTCATGTTTTTGATAAAAGATTGAGGGCACGTGAATATAAATAAAAACTAAAGATATGCAACAGATAAATTATTAATAATGAACAACATTCCATAAAAAAAATATGAATTATCAATTTTGATTTAATGGTGACTTAAAAAGTATACTACACTCAAAGATTTCTGTTATTATGTCATTCTAAATCAGTAAAACATTCTTTCTTCTGTGAAACACAAAATACATTTAAAAAATACAGATTGTTTCAAAGCAGACTTTAATAAGCATGAAAATGACAGTGATGTAAAATTAATTACGAAATTATTAAATACATTTCGAAACAAGCTCGAGTTCAGCTCTACAGAAGATAATGTCATTATTCAGCTCAGTTCACTGTCGTATCAATTCAGTTCAATAACTCAATGTTGCAATGTTCATTAATTATGAAACAAGTTTGATTCAGCTATAAGTAGTTCAACAGAAGGCAACAATGTCATTATTTATTTAAAGTCAGTTAAATGTTTATTCAATTCAGTTCAGTAATAGTGTTGATGTTGCAAAGTTATCCAGCTCAGTTCATATTTTGTTCTCGATATATTTTGTTCTTTGTAATGTGTATATATATTGGCCTATAATTGCCTTTTAAACATAATTGTGTCCTAAAAATGAAGGTCAGTGGGGTCCCGTGTTGTTTTGGAAGTTTCATTGTATATGGACAAAAACATCTAAAACATTATTTTTAGCATACAGGTTTGATAATTATGACAGAATTCTCCTGTTTGTGATTCCTTATCAACATCTAGTCTTGTTTTATCTTTATTTGGACTCAGAAGCAGTGGTCGGTCTCACTGGCAGCTGACGCACCTCATCACCACATCCTTCACAGCACAGGTGGCTTCTGCGGAGAGTTCCGGTTCGGTGTCATTCAGAGGACAAACTCAGAAACAGCAAATATCTGTTGCTCACTGATTTGCAAATCAAGGTGCTGACAGTCCCGGTGCACGAAAACCCACCCTGTGTCTCTGTTTTAAGAGTGCAGTGTTTGCTAAGTGCTTGGACTGAAGACTGGGCAAAGCAAGGAGTTGAGTGAATGTATACTCTGAGGAATGAGTTCTTTTGTGAACCCACAACATCTCTGAGTGCTTTGTCTGTCAATCAATTGAGCTTATAATAAAGCATCAATAGCTGTGAGGTAATTGTAAGTGCACTGCCAGCTCCAGAGAAAAGCATGAACCGAGTGCCTTTACTCGTTGATGAAACAGCAGGTATCTATGCATTTAACAGTTCTGACATGACCATAAAGCAGTTGCCATGGCAACATAGGGTTTGACGGAGGTGTGACATTAGCCCTGACATTAGGGGGGATGAGAGCCCCATGGAACACAAGGTCACCTGCCCACATCTGCCTCTCCTCTCTCCATAGAGATGGATGGATGGATGGATGGATGGATGGATGGATGGATGGATGGATGGATGGATGGATGGATGGATGGATGGATGGATGGATGGATGGATGGATGGATGGATGGATGGATGGATGGATGGATGGATAGATAGATAGATAGATAGATAGATAGATAGATAGATAGATAGATAGATAGATAGATCTTCATTTGTCAGAGTTTATATGTAAATGCAGTTCACATATCCACCTTTTTTAGCAACACTATTTTCGTGCGAGACTACCGGTAAATCAGCTGCTATAGGAAAATAACTACAAGAAAAACAAAATAGCCGATAAAAATTTGCGAGACAATCCAGTGCGTTTATGATTATAATAATACATTTTCCTACAATAAAATGACAGCAGCTACCTACTATTTGCAATATCAAGCAGCATAACGGACTGTTTTTGTACTGAAAGCGATTTAAGTGACGGACACCGGAAGACTTTTGTCTCGCACATTCAAGTTACAAATGGCCGCGCCAGCTCTTACCTTGAAAATAAAGTGGATACGTTTAGAATAGATTCTCAACTTTAATGGACTAAAATGCATTTAAGGCGGATTGATTTAATTGTGCTGTAATGACGGGGCACGAATTGTAGTTTTGACTTATTAATGTTAAATGGGAATGTACAGCTTCTGTCACACGACTTAAAGGAGTAAGCTAGCCTACTTAGCTGGCAAAATGGGCTTTCAATAAAACTTGGCTACCTATACAGTAGAAAGGCAAAAACAAGTTTTAAAATTGGAAAATATTTAGTCTAGGTGCAGATTAATCTCTGGTTGTAAGACGGTAAAAAAACAACTGCTGACTTTCACCATTAGCCTAAATGTGCACTGGCTAACATTTTACAGACATACACAAAATATTACTGTATATTTGAAGCTTAAGCATTGAAACCAAGAGAAAGGGGAAATGTCATTTAATTTTCATTTTGTAGACATTTCCTAAATATTTCTTTTCATAAATTTGAATGTATTCTGTTTTGAAAAAGAAAAGAAAATTGTTTGTGACAAGAGCATCTGCGCTGCTGGTCTGGTGCTTGCTTGAGGCTTCTGACTTTTACAGAAGGCATTATGTGAATTAGAATATTGTCTCGATATCAAGTCATAAATAGAAAAAACCTCCTCACTGCCACAGCCAGGTGCTTAAGCAAGCACACCTGTGTAGCAACCCTGCTGGTTGTATCCATTGTGATTTAGCCGGGTGCTCATCCCACAATAAAATATTTATTCAATGGTTCGAGCCAGTAAAATAACACAGGCTAAGAAAAAAAAAAAAAGTTTTATGCAATGTTTTTTTTAAAGTCTAGCATAGAATAAAGCATCTAAAATGAATAAATCATAGAAGATATTAAAATAGATTCCAAGATCAAACAGACAACATTCTAATGAATAATAATAATACAAAAAAACACACACTTATTACACTCAATTCAGTGGTTGATTGTACATTATAAATCAAATTAATTCAGAGTATCATGCTGTTGCACAGTGTTGACAGAGTAACTGCAGGTGAGACAGAGTTGATGGCTGAGGAATGATTCAGAGGGGTCAGAAAAGCCTCCTCATATCCCTTTAACCTGGATGAGCTGGTAGAAAATCCACACAGTCCACGAAGTTTGATTTTCACATTCCCTTTACAAAAAGTACTAGGCTCACTACTTCTTCTTTGCAGTAATGTTCTTGCAGACCCAGTTCATGCCATCCTGAAAGAAAGGAGCACTTTAGCCAAAAACCAGCCGCTGATGGGAAGGTCTAAACCACTGATTGGAAAAATAAAACAAGGCTAATGTAAAAGCAATGACTCACCTGGACTCCCTCTCCCGTAAGTGCAGAGCAGGACTGAATTTGCCAAATACGGTCCCGAATGGTGTGCAGGTTCAGTCCCTCTGCGATCTCAGAGGCTGGAGCAGCGGTCAGCAGGTCTTGTTTATTGGCAAAGATTAAAACAGGTACGCCACTAAGTTTCTCCTCATCGAGCAGCTCAGACAACTCCTGCACACCACATAAACAATTCAAATAGTAATCCAATAGCTCATTCAAATACTTTCAGCATGGATTTGCTTGAACAAATGCATATCAAGAAAGTTTCACTTCCAATAAAATAAAAGCATTTCAGTGAACTGTATTAAGTAGGAAAATGTTGCTAGACATAGACCTGACCAAGTGTGAAGCCACATAGTGTGAGAAATATCCTGCAGAGACCTTGGAAGGTTCATAATCTCTCATCTACACACAAACAAGACAAGTAATAATGAACAGATTTGCTATAATGATAGATCTTTTTATACCTGTCCCGTTTCCTCAAATCTCTTCCTGTCTGCACTGTCTATGACATAAATCTAAAATGCAAAAACACAACGTCAAAATCATCACATAAACAAATATGAGAAAATATCAAAATACGTAAGAAATATATATACAACTGTTCAAAAGTTTGACGTCAGTAAGATAAAAAAAAAAAAACTTTTATTCAGCAAGGATGAATTAAATATATAAAAAGTGACAGTAAATGTTGTTTATCAAAGTATTCTGAAAAATAGACTGTTTTCAAAAAATATTAAGCAGCACAACTTTTCAAAATTTATGATAATAATAATTGGTAACTGTTTGCTGCAAATTAAGCTTTGCCATCACATTTAAAATATATTCAAATAGCAAACTAGAAATATTTACTAGAATATTTCACAATGTTAGTATTTTTTTAACTATATTTTTGGTGAGCATTAGAGACTTAGAACTTTTGAATGGTAGTGATATATGATAATGAATGCTATGCTATGCATAAACATATCTCTTAATAAGAAACACTCACAAGCATGTCAGTATTTTCAAAGTAGTTTCTCCAGTATGGTCTAATCTTCCTCTGGCCTCCAATGTCCCAGACATTCAGTTTGAAGCCCTGAGACTGCACGCTCTTAATGTTAAAGCCCTGGCAAGGACAGAAGAATTAAAACTAACTGAACAATGCTGTATTGTGCTAAAGCAAGAAAACCCCTTTTTAGTTCACCCAGAGGATAGTTCACCCAAAAATGAAAAATTTGCCATTACTTACTCACCAGACAGTTGACGCCACCCATTGACTTCCATAGTATTCTTTTTTTCCTACAATGATGTCAATGGGTGCTGTCAACTGTCTGGTTACCGATATTCTTTAAAATATCTTAATTTGTGTGTTCAACAGAAGAAAGAAACTCATACAGGTTTGGAACAACATGAAGGTTAGTAAATGGTAACAATTTTTTTAATTTTTGAGTGAACTATCCCTTTAAGAGCTTATTCTATGAAAATGGAAGAAACTAGCTTTTTTTTTTTACAAGGCAATTTGTATTTCCTGTAAAAGGGAGATTGTGTGTTACCTGTGTTGGTGTGATGTGACTAATATCCTCAGAGGCTAGCTGTTTGAGAAGTGTCGTCTTTCCACCATTGTCTAATCCAAGGAGCAAAATGCGTATCTCCTGGTCTGGGGCACTCTTTAGTTTTCTAAGGATTGACAACAAACCCTGGAATAAACATAATATGCTCAATAACCCGATTTTAAACAAGACAACAATGACACTAGGCCTATATAAGGACATTTGTGAGAAAAAAGATAGTTCTAAAAAAACGACTTCTCTCAGCTAAGAGCCTTATCTAACAAAGTATGAAAAAGACAAAGACATTTGAAGATTTTAGAGAGATTAAAAGAGACTTTAAAGAGATTAAAGACAGAATGACTCAGTCGCAATTCACTCATTATATAAAAAATGCAGTGAAAGTGAAAGATGATTAAATGATGACACATTTTGTTCAACTATCCATTTAACATCGGTGGCTACAATATCATAATCATTTCTTAAATGAGTTACAATCTTTACATTTGAATTATTCGGGAAATAACGAGACAGAGGAAGGCAAATAACTGAGACTTAGCGCCGCTGATCCACCAGGCTTCACTCCTACAGAGAAAGCCCGCTACTGCAGCTAACGTTAATTATCAAGACTTCACGCTGCAAACGCCGAATAAATTATGCGTATTTCCAAAGTTTCTAAAATCTCAGTTAAATACAAAATACACAAAGATAGGACTAAAGGCTAATTAACTTCTCACCATCTTCCTCCCTTCCGAGACGCCGACGATGGTTACTAGGGGGAGTTAAGTGACGTCACCAGCTGTTGGCGTCATTTTAAAGGAACCGCGCTGTCACATTTTTCTGATTAGGTTTCAAAGTCAGTTTCTGTATCATCACAAATGTTAAAGGAAGGCACGTACGCCGCGGCCTAAATAATAGCTACTGAACATTTCCACCGTCATTCCCAGGAAGAAATACTATTCGTACATTTTGACACACAATATGGGGTAAGTTGTCACCGACAAACCTGCCATTAAACAGTCTATTATAGGCTTTTCAGCAAACTTTAAAGTAAAACAAATTTAAATGGTAGAAGAATTATGAATCAAAACAATTTATTATATGTATATATATAAAATATGTTGACTTGCACACATGGAACTATGCAAAACCAGGTTCACCCTGGTGAATTTATCAAAACAACTGGTAAGTGAGCTTTTAAAATAAATGTACCAATTGCACTGATTCTACTAAAACAACCAATTTTTATTGTAAATAAATCTGTAAAAATACAAAAATGACAACAATGGCAAGTTCTCCTTGACTGATCTCAACATCAAATGCACCATGCAAAACTTCCCTCTATCGGTCCTTCAAAAAGGGACAAAGATTTAAAAACCCCGCTTGCCAAATAAAACAAAAAAATGATGCGTGATAAGAAGAAAATCTGTAGAGAACAATGCTGGTGCTTTCCCTGAAGGCAGATGCAGATTGACAGGCTTTTCACTGTCATGGTACAGTGTGTTACAGGGATAGTACATCTGGAATAATCCTTAAGTGCCCTCACTTGAGGGCACAATGGTGACAGGACTGTGAATTCGTGGGTCTCCCAACTGAGAGTGAACCTGAAGGTTGGTGTTGGCGGTTATTTACACATAAGTAACAGTATTAACTAATATACTTTTTTTAACATGAAGTAAATGTTCACAGAGCTGGCTGTATTGAGGCTTCAACCTTACTATTAACATTTGTACAATCTGACAGTACAAAATTCCACGAAATTCTTCACCGCCCCTTCATCATGTCTCATAGAAGAACATTACATCTAATATTGTATAAAACGTATAAAGGTCTGATGTAAACATCTCAATTTCAGCTTCTGTGAGATTTAAATCTGCTTTTTCTTGGCTGGTTTGACTGAGGGCATTTCCTCCTCACTAACATCATCATCTTCATCTTCATCTGATATTTCAGACTCTTCATTCTCTGTGGCTGAAAGAGGAGAAATAATTAGCACCATTCAGTTTCAAAACAAAAGGGATAAAATAGCATGCTCTGTGTGTGATTTTTAGCTTTAAATGCATTTTTGTGATATAGAGACTTGCAACTGTTGTTTTATTTCTCACCAACTAAATGTAACCCACTAACAGTCACTGGTCCAGATCCAGATTTCAGCCGCAGTGTGACAGGAGCCATCAACTCAAACTCCCCAAGGCTTACCTGAGTAGAAAAAGATGTAAAAAAAAAAAAAAAAAAAAAAAAAAACATTTAAAAACTTGCAACATATTTGAATACCTATATTATACAACAGTTTAGTAAAAAAAAAGCATTACCATAGGCAGGCAGGAAATGTTGAGATTAGCTACGGGCACAGATATTTTCTTTCCTTGGTGATTCATAGCGGTCACTTCCACAACATTATTCTCCTCTTTGGCACCATCACCCAGACAAATCTAATGGTTTAAGAGAAAGGAGTTTAAAAGTACAGGTCATCAAGCTCTTTACACGTCTTAAAGTCGCGATGAAATGAAAGCAGCAACTGATCATTTTGTCTATATTATGACATACAACGGAGTATAATGCATTATTGTAAAATAAAAAATGTTGGGCAGGAACTTGGTTCTATGAATCAGCTGTTGACTGGATTTACGAGATGTGGTCGTTACACTCCAAAAGTTGAGCTTGCAGGGGCAGGGTTTATGCAGGCTAAAGGGGCGGACACATTTACCACTGTTAGGCAAATTTTCATGAGCGAAATCCACCCAATCGGGAATTTCGCATGATTTTAACAGATTTTGCATTGGGTTTACTGTGCTAACCAACAGAAAGCTGCTTGATTTGAAGTGAGTTCTGTGTGAGCTGTGCTTCATATATCGCTACACTATTGACAATAGACCTTTTTGGCCCATGAAATTGAGCTAAGTAATGAGTTCCATTAAATGACTGTTATTATAATCCTGCATACATCACCTATGAGAACTCTGTCATTTCACCAGAAGACCAAGAAATGGTTTCTTAAACCAGACATTTTTTTTAGGGTAGCACTTAATTTTGTCCATCAGGAATTGATTTGATCATTGTGGTTTGCTATTGCTGTGATCTCATATGAGTGACAGGTTGTCCCGCCCTGCTGCAAGAGGGAGGGGAAGTTATTTTAATTAAAGGTAACCACACAGTTGACAGCACCCTTTTGACTTTCTATAGTATTTTTTTTTACCAACATTCTTCAAACGAAAGAAACATACGGTATACACATGTTTGGAACAACTTGAGGATGAGTAAATAAATAAATACATTTTTGGGTGGTATCCCTTTAAAAAAAATTATGATGTACATGGATGGATCATTTAAAATAAACATGGCTACAAAAATAAGAACTGAGTGTCAAGTTTGATTTCATGGTGACTTTAAACAGAAGGTGATATAAAAAATATAAAAAGAGAGAAAGAAACACACAGACAAATTGTTCACAATAAGATCTATAATATGCATAGAGAAAATAGATGAATTTTTATTTCATATTGACTTTAAAACTATAAATCAGCCAAAAATGAAAATCCATCATGATTTGATCAACATTCTATTACTTCACACACATAGGAGTTTCCCTTTCTTTTTTCTCTGTAGAACACGCATAGACAGTAAAACACGTCAATCAAAAGCGCAATGAAAGTGAATGGCGACATTTACAGGTTTAGGACAGGCAAACTCTTGCTTTAATAAAATATTGTACGAACCGTCCTGAGCTCCAGAAAATGTTCCACATCTTCATCTTCGTCTGCTTGAAATGTGTAAAATGGAACTTCAGAAGACAACTCACAACCTGAAGGAAATCAAAATCACACTATTATATAAGTAGCCTATATTTAATTTATATGCAGAAATGAATGTAATCACTGAAAACGAGCACGTATTTTGATGTTAAGTAATCCAGTTTTTTTTTTAATGAACGTTAAAAACATCTCTGGCCACAATTATTAAAGAAATAATCAAATGCAGTTGTTCCACGTGTGCTAGTAAATCTACGAAGCATATACTGTCTATGCGAAGCATGCAGAGCGTCACTGTTGATCTTACTGAACACATAGCTTTCCAATCGCGAGCGTGAGTCCACCCCACTGTCCGATGTTTCGTCCTCAACAAACGACATAACTGTTCGAACGTTTCTAATATATCCCAATAAAGGCTACAATATCCACAGTGCAAGTCGCGTTTCCAAAACACATGTGACGAGCAAGCGAAAAACGGCGCATGATTACTACGTCATCAGCACTGACCTAGCTGGTTTTTAATTGTTACAATATCTGAAAGACACTGTAACAATTAAATATACAATACAGATAAAAAGTTGGGAATAATTACGATTTTTTAATAAAAAAATCTTAAACAAATTTCTTTCTTGAAAGAATTATCTTATACTCACCAAAGGCTGCATTAATTTGATCAAATATAGGCCTAGAGCAAAACGGTAATATTGTGAAATATTCAAACTTAATGTATTATAATGTAATTTAGTTCTGTTTGTGCAAAGCTAAATTTTCAGCAGCCATTACTCCAGTCTTCAATATAACATGATTCTTTGCATAGAGTCAGGTGAAAAAGAAAGTACACCCTTTTGAATTCGTTTTACATATCAGGACATAATAAAAAATCATCTGGTCTTTAACAGGCTAACAAAAATAAAGCCAAAATGGAGATGCCATGTGTGGCAAACTAAGTACACCCTATGATTCAGTTGCTTGTAGAGCCACTTTTAGCAGCAATACGTTGAAGGAATAGTTTTATGACTTTATCAGTCTCTCTCACATCATTGTGGAGGAATTATAGGCCCGCTCTTCTTTACAACGTTGCTTCAGTTCATTGAGGTTTGCAGGCATTTGTTTATGCACAGCTCTCTGAAGGTCCCGCCACAGCATTTCAATCGGGTTGAGGTCTGGACTTTGGGCCAGCAACCCCTTGATTCCTTTCAATTTCAGCCATTCTGTTGTAAATTTGCTGGTGTTCTTGGGATCATTGTCCTGTTGCACAGCACAATTTAAGCCAAGCTTCAGCTGTTGGACAGATGGCCTTACATTTGAATCTAGAATACTTAGGTAAACAGAGAAGTTCATGGTCGACTCGGTGACTGCAAGGTGTCCAGGTCCTGTGGCTGCAAAAGTCTTGAGGATTGTTCAGATGCAACTTTGCAAACCTAAGCCGTGCTCCCATGTTTCTTTTTTTTTTTTTTTTTTTGAGAGAGAGAGAGAAGCAGCTTTCTCCTGGCAACCCTTCCAAACATGCCATACTCATCCAGTCTTTTTCTAATTGTTCTCTCATGAGCATTTAATGTGTTAACTGAGGCCTGTAGAGTCTGAGGTGTAGTTCTTGGGTGTTTTGTGATTTCTCTGAGCAGTGCCTGGCCTGACCTTGGGTTGAATTAGCTGGGACGTCCACTCCTGGGAAGATTGGCAACTATTTTGAATGTTTTCCACTTGTAAATAATCTTCCTCACTGTAGAATGATGGACTTCAAATTGTTGGGAAATGGCCGTGTAACCCTTCTCTATTACTCTACATCTGCTGAATGTCTTATAAAGAATGATGGACTTCAAATTGTTGGAAAATGGCCATATAACCCTTCTCGTATAACCCTAAATCTGCTGAATTTACAAAAATGCTTTTTCTCAAATACTTGAGAGGCATGCTCCAGGTAAAACTAGACTGGTTCCATCTACTCGTGCCTCACCCTGGTTCACTCCTGAACTTCGGACGATGAAAACTAAGGGGCGCCGCCTAGAAACTCATTGTGCACTCTCTGGCTTTTAAAGAACATTTGCTCAACTACCGTACAGCCCTCAACGATGCAAGATCCTCTTATTTCTCCTCTACCATTAGGAATTCCATGTACAGCCCCAAATCATTCTTTGCTATGGTTAACAAACTCACTAATACACCACAACATGTTATTTCGGGCTCTGGGGTGCTTGTGAATAGCTTTTCCCAATTCTTTTCAGACAAATTGAAGTCAATCACTGAAACCATCACCAATGACACACCTCAAACAAGTGACTCAAATGTTCATATGATGCTATCTGATTCAGCTCACTCAACAAACTCTCTCTCTGCTTTTACTCTGACTACTCCCGTTGCCATAAGTGATCTAATTGTGAAGTCTAATTCCACATCCTGCCAGCTTGATCCTACACCTACTGTTTTGCTTAAGATGTGTGTCCTCGATGTTGCACTCTTCATAACACATGATAAACTGTAGTTTGGCTTCTGCCATTGTCCCAGCAGAATTAAAAATGGCTGCGGTGACCCCCATTCTTAAAAACCCAGGCCATGGCCATCTAAACATGGACAATTACAGGCCAATATCTAATTTAAAGGAGCTGTATGTAAGATTGTGGCCAAAACTAGTACTGCAATCACTGTCAAATTACTGTAGAGTGGTGTATCCCCTCCCCCTCCTCCCTGACTCGAGGTTGCCAGCTCGGCTGCAGGATCCAGCAGGAACGTGACGAGCTGCAGCTGTGGTAACTAGAGCAGAGCTGGCAACCCGGATGCCGCAACACTACTGACTTCGTGATTGGTCGATAGGTGGAGGGTGGAGCATCAGACCAAAACACAACATGACAACATCAACATCAGTTGAGGGCTGCAACTGCACTTTTTAAATGACAATATCCTGGCCAGACTACTGTTGTCAGTGATATAATTATTTGAAATGTACATGATTTCTTAATGTCTAGTGACATTTCAGGGCCATTTTATGATTAATTGAAATAAATTTCTTACATACAGCTCCTTTAACATTCTGAAGCAAAATCCTTGAAAAGGTTGTGGCTTCGCAATTGCGATCATATTTAGATGCTAATGGTCTTTTTGAACCTTTTCAGTCAGGATTTCGCCCATCTCATAGCACTGAAACTGCTCTTCTTCGGGTGGTTAACAACATTCTTTTGTCCGTGGATTCAGGGTTAATAAACATCTTGATGCTTCTCGATCTAAGCGCTGCATTTGACACAGTCTGAAATACTGATCTCTCGGCTTTCTGATATCTGATTTCGCTCTTTCCTGGCTCATTTCTTACATCAGTAACAAAGTATTATATCACCATACAAGGGTATAGATCTGCCACTGCTTCGCTTACACAGGGTGTTCCTCAAGGTTCAGTTCTTGGCCCACTATTGTTCATCATCTATATACACTTGGTGGCATCATACGCAGGCATGGACTTCAATTTCATTGCTATGCTGATGACATTCAAATTTATCTTACCACCTCTAGGCCATCCCTGCCTGACTCACTCACTGCATGTATCAGGGACATCAAGCATTGGATGTCCCTGAATTTCCTCAAATTAAATAAATTTTTTACTGCCTCAGTCCAAAGGTTGGACCTGTCCTTTGATATTGGAGTTCATTAAGCCTCCGTCATCTATTCTATTCTCAACTCTATCTTTTGGCTCTCATATTTCTTCTAGTTAAAAACTCTTTTTTCCATCTTCGTAATATTGCGCGTCTTCGATCTTCTCTCACTTTAGCTGAAACCTTAATTCATGCATTAATCACATCGCGTCTGGATTATTGCAATGCTCTATTTCGTGGTCTGCCCAAAAAACTTTTTGCAAGATTACAATATGTTCAAAACTCAGCAGCAAGAGTTCTCACCTCAGGCGTTCTGCTCACATTACTCCTCTGCTTCATGACCTTCACTGGCATCACATATTCACTTTAAGGTATTACTTCTAACGTTTAAGGCATGAAATGGTATTGCACCTCCATATCTGTCTGATCTACTTTACTCTTACCGCCCTGCCTAGTCCCTTAGATCAGCTGGACTTGGTTTATTGTCCATCCTTCGTTTCCGGTTGTCTACTGTAGGTGGAAGGTCATTTAGTGTACTGTTAATGCTCCTAAATTATGGAATTCACTACCCCTTACACTTCGAATATCTCATCTGTGGCTACATTCAAGACTCAGCTGTTGATGTATTTTGGATAATGTGACTATATGTGTCCTTATGTGATTGTAGAGCGGGTGTGTAAATGTATTGTAAGGTACAATGTAAAGGGACCTTAAAGGGATACTCCACTTTTTTTGGAAATAAGCTAATTTTACAACTCCCCCAGAGTTAAACTGTTGAGTTTTACCGTTTTTGAATCCATTCAGCCGATCTCCGGTTCTGGCGGTACCACTTTTAGCATAGCTTAGCATAAATCATTGAAGTGGACAAGACCATTAGCATTTCTAAAAGAAAAATGACTAAAGAGTTTCGATATTTTTCCTATTTAAAACTTGACTCTTCTGTAGTTACATCGTGCACTAAGACCGACGGAAAATGTAAAGTTGCGATTTTCTAGGCTGATATGGCTAGGAACTATACTCTCATTCCTGCGTAATAATCAAGAAACGTCACTGCCGTACCATGAGAGCAGCAGGCGTAATGATATGACGCAGCGCCTGAAAATAGGCCACCTTCCGTCAACACAATGGAACTATTTTCAGGCGCTGCGTCATATCATTACGCCTGCTCAATTCGGTTGTTAAGTCTGACGTCACGCGTGACGTTTAGCCTCTTCCGGGCCCAAGCGCTCCGCTCGTCCACTCCAGATCCTAGACTAAATAAACCCTTTTCTTAAGGGCTTTTTTCGCTTCAGTGCCAGTGGGTGTTACTAGGGATTAGAGGTCTGCTACCCGACCCGAGCCCGACGGGTCCCGAAAAATGTGCGGGTTTCGGGTCGGGTTGGGGTTAATGTTAATGAACAGCCTCGGGTTCGGGTCGGGTTCGGGTTTAACTAAGAAAAACGAAATAGGCTATATATAGTTTGCGTGCCGTGTGCTTTGCCTGCTTGCTGTGTTGTGGTGACCGGCACGCGAGAGAGAGAAAGTATAGGCTACGTCCGCAGATGTGCAATATGTGCATACAGGCTCTCTCTCTCAAATATAATGATATATGAATATAATATTTTTAATTATTTGTTTTATTTTATCATATCATTTATATCACAAAACTGTTTTGCGCATGTGCTACCGCTCTCGCGCGCTATTTCAGTCACAATACAAACAGCCGACGACAACAAGCAAACCATGAGTCTGATAAAGCAAAAAATTACTTGGTAAGTTTTTTCTCTTACTGCTGTGCTGCCTGCTGATAGGGCCGCTGCGCCTACATGTATTTGTTTAATATGTCAAGCAATCATTAAATACAACATAGCATATTGCAAAAATGGTATTGCTGTGAGAAACAGAATGGACCTCGGGTTCGGGTCGGGTTCGGGCTTAATATGTAAATGTAATTGTCGGGTCGGGTCGGGTTAAATGATCGCGGGTACGGGCCGGGTTCGGGCTTCAGTTTAAAGCCCGTGCAGACCTCTACTAGGGATTAAAGGGTCACTTCACCCATTTGCATTAAGGTTTGTATTGTTAGAAACCCAGTCATATATTATAATGATGGTGGAATTTTGCTTGTTTTTTTTCTGAGATGGGAGAAAAAAGGATTTAAGTGTTTTACTTCCGTCCTATCTTGACGTAAATATCGTCATTTTGCGTCACGATAGGACGGAAGATAAATTTCATTGCATATGAGACAGGGGTAGCTGCAGCCTGGAGTAATGGGCGTGGCAAGAGGTAGGGGCGTGGTAGGAGGTAGGGGAGTGGCAAGAGGTTTCTCATTGGTCAAAGGAGTTTCCTCCTGGCAACTGCGTTGGCCAATCAGCAGTAACCATAGTTAAACGTCATTTCCTTTAGCTGAAAAAAATCGTCATTTCCTTTAGACGGAGAGAAGATGGCGGAGGTAATTCACATATGCGATATAATTTGTTGTTCTCTTTGCTTTACATCTTTCAGCTTTGGTAATTATTTAATTGTTGTTGACAGACACATGTTACAGTGAGAAGCATTAACGACTGCATTTGCGTCGAAGACATCAGAGTCGGCGATTTATATCGATGTCCGTTCTGTGCTCTCAGTGTTTTTAGACCTTGTGAATATAACAAGATCCATAGTCATTTGCAAAGCCACAGACTTCGCGCGGTTCGCCATGAACGTAAGTATGAGTTCAGTTGTGATATGCTATGCATGCCTGTTATGTAACAGCTGTTACAGATAACTTGTTAAGGTTAGATAATAACGTGAACGGTGATGTTACGTATCATAAATGGAAACTTATGACAAACATGTTTTGCTTTATATATTATTTTTCCTATTTTAAATTGTGTTTGATCTTTATGTTTCTTATAGATTTGATCATCTTTGACTGCCACTTGGAATGCAGACAAACCAAGCACTTTCACTGCTTCCACTGCTCAAAAACCCTAATTAAAAAGTCTGATTTTATAAAGCACATAAATATGTGCAAAGTAGTCAAACAGACATCTCCTCCTTTGTCTCCTCCCAGTAGTGACACAGCTCCAAAAACAGCCCAGTGTGCATCTTTGTCTCCTCCCAGTAGTGACACAGCTCCAAAAACAGCCCAGTGTGCATCTTTGTCTCCTCCCAGTAGTGACACAGCTCCAAAAACAGCCCAGTGTGCATCTTTGTCTCCTCCCAGTAGTGACACAGCTCCAAAAACAGCCCAGTGTGCGTCTTTGTCTCCTCCCAGTAGTGACACAGCTCCAAAAACAGCCCAGTGTGCATCTTTGTCTCCTCCCAGTAGTGACACAGCTCCAAAAACAGCCCAGTGTGCATCTTTGTCTCCTCCCAGTAGTGACACAGCTCCAAAAACAGCCCAGTGTGCGTCTTTGTCTCCTCCCAGTAGTGACACAGCTCCAAAAATGGTCCAGTGTGCATCTTTGTCTCCTCCCAGTAGTGACACAGCTCCAAAAATGGTCCAGTGTGCGTCTTTGTCTCCTCCCAGTAGTGACACAGCTCCAAAAACGGTCCAGTGTGCGTCTTTGTCTCCTCCCAGTAGTGACACAGCTCCAAAAACGGTCCAGTGTGCGTCTTTGTCTCCTCCCAGTAGTGACACAGCTCCAAAAACGGTCCAGTGTGCGTCTTTGTATCCTCCCTGTAGTGACACAGCTCCAAAGGTGGTCCAGTGTGCGTCTTTGTATCCTCCCTGTAGTGACACAGCTCCAAAGGTGGTCCAGTGTGCGTCTTTGTCTCCTCCCAGTAGTGACACAGCTCCAAAAACAGCCCAGTGTGCGTCTTTGTCTCCTTCCAGTAGTGACACAGCTCCAAAGGTGGTCCAGTGTGCGTCTTTGTCTCCTTCCAGTAGTGACACAGCTCCAAAGGTGGTCCAGTGTGCGTCTTTGTCTCCTCCCAGTAGTGACACAGCTCCAAAAACAGCCCAGTGTGCGTTTTTGTATCCTCCCAGTAGTGACACAGCTCCAAAAACAGCCCAGTGTGCGTCTTTGTATCCTCCCTGTAGTGACACAGCTCCAAAGGTGGTCCAGTGTGCGTCTTTGTCTCCTCCCAGTAGTGACACAGCTCCAAAGGTGGTCCAGTCAGTTAGTTTTCCTGCTCAAAGTGACGACACCGCTCCACAAGTGACCAAAACGGTGTCTTTTGCACCTCTTTGTGATGACACCGATAAAACCCGCTTGAAATATGTTCGTAGAAAACAGGGGCAAAGATTATGTTGTCCCCACTGTAATCTGTGCGTTTTAAAAAAAAATCTCAAGAAACATATACAAAGGGCACACTTGAATATTGAACCTGATATCACTGCACAGTCTCACCTTCAAAGTCAGTGTATTGACCCAAAAAATGCAGTTTTTGCTGTTGCAAAATCGTCTAAAGGCCCTTGTATACCCATTCATGTTATCAAAAAAACATGGGGCATTTCACACAAGGTGACTTGTGAACTTGATGTCTGTAATTCTGTAATGGATTTTAAAAGAAGAAGTGGCATGAGATCTTGTCAGTGTACACACTTAAAATCAGTGGATTACTGCAGATCTGATGCTGGAAATGTTGTCCTGCATGAAGAGGCTTTAAGAGAAATGGTACAGCACAAATGGTTTTCAGAGGAACGCAAAAGACAGTGCTTAAATGCTCAGAAAAAAGCTGAAGAACAAAATGTATGTTTTGCATCCTATGTGACGCTTGATGGTCCATCCTATATGCACTATGTGTCAGTTTTTGAGCCAAAAGTTTCTTTCTATAACCGATTGGAAAGAATCATGGTTGTTTATAATGCAAAAAACAATACATGGCATTGCCCTTGTACTCGGCCAAGACGCTCCTGTATACACAAGGCTGTGTGCAAATGGTACCTTTTCCAAACCAACAGAAAAATGTTCCAAAGAGTGAAGAGCACAGAGCTGGAATTGACCTGCAAGACTCCATTGCCAGTGGACACTGGACTTTCTAATTCAGAAAAAGATTATACTGAGAACATTGTGTACCCTCCAAAAAATGAGGACCTCAAGAAAATGGTGCAGTATATCTTTACAAAGAAAACAATACCACCTTCCCTACCCATCTCAGCAACCAATTTAGATGAAAAGGAATCCCCAAAAGTTTTGGTTCCAGATGAAATGCACTGTTCATCGTGTTCAGAACCCCTTAGTGATCCTTTGCTCATCTCTAATAAAGCTAAAATTGTCACAACAGTTGGAATAATTGAAGGTTGGTATTTATTTGTTAGTAGTAAATTCTTACTTCAATAATGTGTGTTAAGATTAGCTGCTTATTTTGTTTGTTTTTGTTTTTAGGTGTTGAAACCTACTGCAAGACATGCCCAGTGTGTGGACTTGCATATCACTATCAAGAATGGAGCACTGGTCTGCATAACTATGATGACCACATCATACTCAGTTTGAAATTCTGTCTTATGCTTCGGAGTTTTTTGCAGGTATAGTGGATTGCTTTATTTATTGCAGGTTGTCAGAACTCAGTCCTGAAGGGCTGCTGTCCTGCAGTTTAGCTCCAAATTGATCAGCTGGACCAGACTATATTAATTAGGTTTGGAGCTAAACTCTGCAGGACAGTGGCTGTTCAGGAGCAGGATTGGACACCCCTGCTTTACAGTGTTTAATGTTATTGTCACAACAATGTCTTATACCTAATTTTTCCTCTTTAGTCTCACACTGCTGTTGAAAGAGTCTGTAAAGCTCTTTCAATATCCAATGGAGTGGTTTACCCAAGTAAAACTGTTCTTTGTGCTTATTTGCACTTTGAAGCATTAACTGATCACGACTACCAGTTTTCCTGCTTAAAGTGTGGATTCCATCCATCTGTTGTTATCATGGATGCTCATCGAAAAGCAGCTTTTAGCATGCCAGGTATGATACAGATCTAATTAAAATTCCTGACTGGCATGTAACTTATTAGAATCAATCATCAATTGAAGTCTTTTATTCATCAAATAATCCTGAAAAGTATCACAGGTTATAAAAAATATTTTCCACATTGATAAGTCATAATAAATTACATTTAGATTATGTGACACTGATGACTGACACTGAAAATTGTTTTGCATCACAGCAATAAATTATTTTTGATAGTATATTAAAATAGAATGCCATAATTTTAAATTGCAATTTCTGCTCCAATAATTGCAGACTTGATGATCATAAGAGACTTACTTCAAAGCATTAAAAATAGTGATGTTTCATAAGTTTTGACTGGGCACTGTATTTGTAATTTTATTTTGTTTAGTCAGTGAAATAGAAGAACCACCAGCAAACTTTGATGGACAGGTGGATGTGGAGGCTTTTTGGAATTCACTGCGATTGGAGATTATTGCAAGAGGTCTTGTGGAGAGTAAGTTATTTAATTAATTTGGATCAAAGTACTACACAGACACGGGTATTTGTTTTATCTTGTATTATGCCTAAACTTTTACACTAGGAGACATTACACATGAATGCAACATACACACACAAATTGGAGAAAACATCCCAGAAACACCTGCTATGAGTGTACCCCATGACATTGTCTGTTATTACATATTAATTTATATTTATGTATAACTTTATTTAGTTAAACTTTAGAAATAAAAGTTGGGTTATCACTGGCAACAACATTATGACTTGTTTCTTTGTTTTGTTTTTGCAGCTGGAAACCCCAATCCTTTTGCAGTCAAGCCAAGCTATCACCTTTGGGCTCCCTGGATTGGACCGAATACTAGGAAGTCTGGCTCTGTCTTAAATACAGAATGGGAGAAAGTACATTCATCAAATCCTAATCCTGCTTCTGAAGTTCCAGTAACTGAGGAAAGGCTTATTGATGAGCTGATGTCACTGAAGGTGTAGTGTTGTTTTGTTTACCTTTTTGTAACAGTATTCTATTGTGATTGTTTATTTCTAATAAATTCTGAGTTTTTTTGTTGTCATTTTAATTCATAGGTTGCTGTTGTCCGACATTTATGTGCATCTTGTGGGTTAGATAACAAGGGATCAAAGATGGACCTCATATTGAGACTGAGGAGTGAAATGCAAAACAGATCATCATATGACAAAATTTTTCAAAAGGTTTGGGGCGCATCAGGTTTGTATGCACTGATATATCTTAATTTATAATAGAAAACACACATTTAAGTGCTGCAATCGTTAATTTTAAACAATCTATCACTTAGGTGGCTGGGCAGTTGTTATGTGCCCCTGCGGTGTCGTTAACAGCATTAAATGCCTGGTGAGAGCTGAAAGTCCAAGGGACTTTACTGACATTTTGCTGTCCTGGAAACACCTTCCCAACGTAACCATTTATGACTTTGCAAGAGGACTTTCCACTCATGCAAATCTCCGTAATCCAAACGTGATTCCCTTCAGCCCACATGAGGGTCGGCTTTTGGAGCCAAATGATGTCAATGTCGCAGCAGCAGAAGAGGGAAGACTTAAAATTTCATTGGAATGGCTCAAAGAGAAGAAAATGCCTGCTGATGTGAATGGGCATCCATTAACTGGCTCATCTGATCACTATGTACTTTCTGACCGATTCCATGAAAACAACACAAAGGATCCCCGTGATAAACTTCGTAAAATACAGCTTGTGCCTGAGTTGGCTGGAAGAGTTAATTCTCAGTGTGCGGAGCAGTTGTTTTCTCAAATGAGAAAAAACAATTACTTCCTAAATGTTATGAAGCCAACAAATCACTTGTTTCTTATGCGAAACCTGCTGCACCACTACAACGTTGCGATTAACACTAGGTTTACAGAACAGCTTACCAAGGCTGTTGGTTGCACTCAGGTTGTCCTGGATGAGCATGGCCAAGCACTTGCAGGTAAACTTGATTTTTCATAATGCAATTTAATGTCATTATTTGGCTTCTCCAGAAATGTTATTTGACACTAGAGTTAGATGACACTCACATGCTTTATTGTTAGGGACTTTAAGTAAAAGCATAGTCGAAATGGATGATGAGCCAAGTACAGTCGAAATGGATGATGAGCCAAGTACAGTCGAAATGGATGATGAGCCAAGTACAGACAAGGCGTCTGTGACATGGCTGAAGGATGTAATGCCCAACAAGACCGGCTGGGAGCAACCATTCAGTGAAGAAAAGGTGATTGCTCTATGAAGGTTGAAATCTTAACAACTGAGGAATGAGTAGCCTGAAACATTTTGTAATGTATGTTGATAATGTTTTTTAGCTCACACGTGTTTTGGACACAAAGCAAAATGGGAGTGAACATGTGGCACGTGTTTATTCTACAACCCTGATGCGAAAAGATTTTCAGACCTTGGGATTGGAACGCAATGTGGAGGCAACAGTTAGGATCATCTTAAATTTCTTTGATCCAATTTACTTTTCAAAAATGTTCCTGGTTTTAAGTGAAGCTGTTATATCTTAACAGATTCTGAATTGCTGTTTCAAGAAAATTGAAGACCTCAGCAAATTGCAGGTAAAATGTCATTGCTTTGCCTTGTAGCGTGAATAAAATGCAAAAAGCTATTATGAAGAAATGTGTATGTTTCTGTTATTAGGGCATCCAAGTCTGGACGTCTAACAGCTATGTGAATGCAACACTGATTCCCCCACTTTGTGCAGATCCCATGTTACATATCCCTGTAAGCAATTATATATTTTTTTCAACAGTGTAATATTGTAGTTATGATTTGTTATTGTTTAGCATACATACTTTGGATTTCATTGACTGTTTCGATGTATTATTGCTATTGACATTCTATGTGCCATATATGTTGTAGGCATTCTTTCAAACTCGGCAAAAAGATTTCACAGAGCAAAATAAACATTGTGCACCATTTTGTATTATATTTATTTGTGATAGGTTGATGCTTCCACAAAAGACTGCATTCTATTTCCATCGTGGATCAAGTCACACTGGATGCTGTGTGTAAGTCATCAAGACAGTTTTATCCATGTCAAATTGATTTCTATATTTTGTGTTTTTTAACAACCATTTTCAGATTTTGCGTCCAAAGCTGAAACAAGTGTTTTTTCTTGATTCACTCTGCGCAAGTGGTCTGAGTGATGGGAGATACAGTCAAGTGTACAGGTCTTTTACATAGCTCAATAGTTCATGTTCAGAAGTTCCAGTTGAACAGTTCTTGTTCATGTTCATGTTCTCAGCTGCTGTATGGTGGTTCAGTTCTAAACCATTCAGCATTTTCTTTTTTTCTCCTTTTTTTCCCCCTTTTTTTCATTTGTGACATTCTTGTGTTAATGATGTCTGATGTGAGTTATATGAGGTCATTAAAGTTTATTAAAGTTGAAAGTACCAAAACACGTATAACTAATCAAAACGGGGGACTGTTGTATAGTGTGTTCGTAAGTTTATCAGCAGAGTACCTTTTGAATAGCGGCGTGTTTTGTTGATTTTGAATTTCAAAATAATTTTTAAAAATCACTTAATAGGAGGGTTGCTCAGACTGTCATCCCTGGCCATTGGACTGAGATCTCCTGTAAGGATCTTCCAGTAAGTTTTTGAATCATCACTTATTCTTCTAGCACACAATTCAATTAATTACTTTCTTGCTTACTTGCTTTTTTACATTTCTTGATTTGCTTGCAAACCTTATCCAGGAGATTCCAATGCAGCATTTCTCCAATAATTGTGGGGTCTTTGTGCTCATGGTGAGTTTTTATATGACAGTAACATCAGATTAATTTAGAAACCAAATAAAAAAAGGTCTAAACAAGTAGCCTTTGAATTTCAGTATGGCCTGTACATTTCTCTGGGGGTGGCTTTTGACTTTTCTGAGGTGAGTCTTCAGATATTTGTTCAACACATTTGTTTTGCAACCCAGTATAAAAACAGAATTTTAAACATCGTAGTAAGTTTTTTTTTTTTTTTTTTTAAGGCTAATATGTCAAGAATAAGAAAATGGTGGTGTGTACTGCTACTTGAAGACTCGGGGTAAATTCTAATTCTAATATAAATTTAAACTAATGACATTTTAGCATTTTGTAATTCTCTCTCTCTCTCTCTCTCGCTCTCTCGCTCTCTCGCTCTCTCGCTCTCTCGCTCTCTCGCTCTCTCACTCGCTCTCTCACTCGCTCTCTCTCTCTCTCTCTCTCTAGGTCTCCTACAGATCGGAAAAGGCACAGAAAAGATGCGGAGGTTGAAGGCCCGTGTGAAGTCAAAACTGGTATGTTAAACAGTTTGAAATATAACACATGTAAACAAAAAAATGGCCAGTGAAAATGAACTTTTTTTTCTTCTTTTTCAGCCATGGACCCAACAGGAGGCCTTGCTGATGTACTGTTGAATATTATTTCTTAAAAAGTTTTTTTGGAGTAATGTAAGATTTTAAAATAGTTTTTCCATATTTTTATTTCCAGCTACCACCAGAGGTACTCAGTCACATTCTTCTAGATGTCGTTTATGAAGAAGGAGACAAAGCCTTTCACACTCTGTCACTAGTGTGCAAAAAGTTTAATGAGACCGTCCACTATCCAGGTTTCCTAAAAAAAGCTCACTTTGCCTGGCTGGACAGTATGTATAAGTATTACTTTATGAAATGAACAAGTTAAGCTAATATATTAAATTCATTTTTTTGCATTAAAAATTATTTTTTTCTTTTATCTTGTAGGTGTCGTTGACTGGAAGTCAGTCAATCCGGATGTGAGGGAGGAATATAGGGTGGCGTTTAAGCTCACCAGATGTGATGCCTGTGGATTCCTCTACAAAAACACCACTGGATATTGCGGCAATGGAAAGAAGGGGGTCTTTACTGCGTTCTATTCAGATAGACAATTTGATGGCTTCTGTTCTATGGACTGCTACTATAGTAGGAATGAGTAATAGAGGAGTGAGTAACAGAGGAGTGAGTAACAGAGGAGTGAGTAATAGAGGAGTGAGTAATAGAGGAGTGAGTAATAGAGGAGTGAGTAATAGAGGAGTGAGTAATAGAGGAGTGAGTAATAGAGGAGTGAGTAATAGAGGAGTGAGTAATAGAGGAGTGAGTAATAGAGGAGTGAGTAATAGAGGAGTGAGTAATAGAGGAGTGAGTAATAGAGGAGTGAGTAATAGAGGAATGAGTAATAGAGGAATGAGTAATAGAGGAATGAGTAATAGAGGAATGAGTAATAGAGGAATGAGTAATAGAGGAATGAGTAATAGAGGAATGAGTAATAGAGGAATGAGTAATAGAGGAATGAGTAATAGAGGAATGAGTAATAGAGGAATGAGTAATAGAGGAATGAGTTTTGACTTTGAACACAAGCCTTTGATGACAAATTAAAAAAATGAATTGTAAAAATGACAACTGAACTGAATAAATGTTTTTTGGATAAAATGGTGTTTGTTTTGCTTAATTAATTAATGCCACTTAGAAGTTTATTAAACCGTTTTTACTTGTTTTTTTATTATATGGTGAGTGTTTGATCAAACACGTATATATGCATGCCTGTATCCAGCAAAAACATTTCCTGTACCATTATTATAAAAAATAACATTACTTTTAGTTCGTATGTACTTCAAAGTACAAAACTAGTATGACTTTAATAGTGTCAGGAGACATTTTTATCTTTAAAATAATTATTTCATTTTTTAATGATTTTATTTTATTATTTAGTTCAAGTACAGACATTTCAAATATTTTGCAATAAAAAAATATGAATACAAGGCATTGTAAATCCAGCTCAAAATGTGTAAACCAAAGAATAACAATAACAACTGAAGTATAAAATGAACCTAATATAAATAAATAGAAAAACAAAAGTTTATGATACCAAGGCAGTTATAGATGTTTTCAAAATCGTTTTGTTTTGTGATCTCATGTTTGAAAGGGTTTCAAAGTATAGGTTACTGTGAGATCAGTGTTATAAAAGGTAATATAGGAGGGTTTCTTTTGCAATTTTCACAAACAGTATGAATGTTTTTTAATGACTGATCCTAAAAAAGTCGCGGTGGTGATGACGTCATGTAACCCGCGCCATACAGACGGTTTCGAAGGTAGGCTGAAGTTGAATGTGTTCTCAATATCATTATTGCTATTTTTACACTGAAATAAATGTATTTGGTCTTGTATAATTATTTGTTGGTCAATAGTTATTAAGTTTATGGCTTGCTTTTATGCGGATCAGGAAGCTTTCGCGTCCAATTGTAAAGACCTCACGGCACGCCCCTACCTCTTGCCACGCCCCTACCTCTTGCCACGCCCATTGCTCCAGTCTGCAGTTACCTCTACTTGTTGCATATTAAGAAAACTACAGCCTTTAGCTCATTATTATTCAAGGGCGTGGGACCCACTCACCCCACCGGCCTATTACAGATCAGTGGGTGGGACTAAACCTGAAGAAACTAAACTATTAATCCGCCATCTTGCTTGGAAGACAGCAAGCTAAGCTAACAAGCGCTCAAGGAGTTAGATTTACCATAATGCCTGAATTTACGACACACGATATGGAAGACGAGGATTTTGAAAATCTTTTGCTCGAAACTGATGTTCGTGGCTATTTATACGAGCCACAATATAGCGAAGAGCAGCTGAGGCTGATGGAGGAACAAGAGGCGGCGGCGTCGGCTGCGGCAGCGGCCGCCGCAGGAGACCAGCCCGGCGCAGACGAGAAGCCCGGACTGGCTCGAGCTGGGCGGACTGCTGGTGCCTACATGTCGTGCTCTCGGCTCTCGCTGTGCGCTACGGACACAGATAGAGTCCGTCTGCTGCAGAGAATTTCAACGATCGCAATATCACCTGGACGAAACCTCTGAATCAGACGAGCACACGGACGTTTGTGTTGTGATCCATCCAAGTTTCGCACCGCATATGTTCTGACTGAACATCCAGGTAACTTTATCATCATCATGCAATAATTCACCATATAGAAAGAAATACAAACGAGGAGTAATTCACTAATGAGTTTGCCAATGTAACGGGGTTCGTTGTTGTGGGAAGAATGAGGCGGGAACCGGCAAACATTTAAACATTTTAATAGTAAAATAAACAAATACAAAACAAAAATATAAGCGAGCAGCCCCTCACTGCTGGCCACACACAACAGAAACAAAACACAACATAAAATCAGGCCTGTTCCTCTCTCGATCTGCCCTGTCGTCGCTCCTCGTTTTATGCGTCCGCTCCTCGGTGAGAGACGCGAGAGAGACCGGTGCGTCTCACAGCTGTCGTTCATTATCACTCGCGCCACCGGCCTCGCGCTGTCCTATCACATCCCTCGCCCTCGTCCTGCTCGCCACAGCCAACTAACTAGAAATTTTGTGTGAAATGAATTTCTAACTCTGGTGGCAGCTAACGTTAGCCTTGTAGACGGAAAAGTGATTTCTCTGATGTTTGCGCTGTTCTGGATTAGTGGGAGTGGCTTGCGGAGCTGTGCAATGTGGTGCATTGTGGGAGTTGTTGTCTTGCATACAAATGCGCACTAAAGTTATTTTCTGTCTTTTCTCGGTCAAGAGGGCATCAAATTCAAAATTTCTTTTACATTTCGACTACATATATGACCCACTTTCAATAAAGATTAATGTTGAAATGGGTGAAGTGACCCTTTAAGGGATAGCACCCACTGGCGCCAAAGTTTCTTCATTCGTTTAAGATTTGTAACTTACCTTATCAACTGCAGCCATTTTCTCTTATCTTTCTCGTCAAGCGGTAGAATGACAGTTGAATGTCACTTGTTTTTTAACTCCGATCTATTTAAACAACACGGGAACACGTTAAAACTCGGGCGAAAGCGGTAGGTAGGTAGAGAGGACCCGGCCTTTGGACCCGGAAACAGTATTATCGGAGAGTGGTTACGTCACGACTTAACAACCGGATAGGCCCTTTTCACAGTGACGTCAGATAACTTCCGCTGTTCCGCAAAGCAGTGTAAACATACTTCCGTTTTGACTTGCGCGCGCTGGTTAAAGTTACTTCAGGAAAACACACAAGGTGATCACCGACAACACGAAAGGTAAAATTAAAATAATGTTTACGTATGTGGCGTTATGTGTTCTTATATTTAGATTATTTTGATGACGTTAATAATCATGTCCAGTAACTTATTGCATTCTTAATGCGTGTGCCCATGGGCGTAGGTTTGGTCTCAGCCTTTAACCCTCCTACCAGATATTGTTATTTGGATATTATCAATCAAATAATGATTCATTATATTTGAATAACAGTGTTAACTTTTGCCTTTTAAACATTGCCAACATGTTTTTCCAGCACATGTGTCTAGCAAGTAACTTAGGCTACACTCACAAATACATTAAACAGAATGTAGAAACGAAAAATGTCTCAGATGATCCACTGTTTATGACTGCAAGATTCTAAGTTAAGGTAGGCTTATTAACATTCAGTGACTTGCTAACGTAGCATTCTATCATGATAGCGCGACTTCTATGAGTCTATCCGTGCTGCACACCCCTAATTAATGCTCCTAACCTTGAAAGATTGCAGAAGCTAGGTTTAACTGTAACAATATCCTGGGTAACCAGGATCACCAGTTAATACTATTTTCCACAGTAGAATCTGCATTTGAAAGCCTGGTCAGTCACTATTTGTGTGGCTAGTTATTTGTGCCTAGGCTACTTACACTCTGCTTTATGAAAAAGCTTCGTATGTCCCTTTTCTTATTCTTGGGTGACATAGCTGGTCTACAAAATACAAAAAGGGACAAAAAACGGAATATTAAAATGCTTTACTCTGGCCTTTGTATATGGCAGGCAGAGAGCCCTGGTAACTTACCGTCGGCGTCGTCACGCGCACACACACGCACACACCACCCGCTCGCTGCCAGTGAGTGCAAGCATAAAAAGTAGTCCCGGCCCGCGCGTGTAGCCTGCCTGTCAGATACCCCGCCGCCAATCAAATTACGGCGTATCTTGCACTGTCGTCGTCCTGGCCGTTGGAATCGATCCAAATAGCAGCGCAAAGATCCAAATGCAGCGCATATATCAAAATAGCAGTTCAAAGGAGCTTGCTAAATATTGGTGGGGACAAATTTGTCATCTCAAAATATTGATTGGGACTAGTACCTAGCGTCCCCCCCTAAACCTACGCCCTTGCGTGTGCCGCCAAGATAACTGTTAAATCGCGGTCAGCACGTGTTTTGCCACAAGTTTACTAACAAGTGTTAAATTTTTATCAAAGCTAAATGTCAAAACCATTTCCATATGCTGATGTGATTTATCATTCATTTTATTCCTGTGTCCATTTTTCAACAGTTTCCCATCCAATAAGCGTGGCACAGTCATCTTGTAGATGCTATTGTAGTGTTCCTTTGTTGTTCAACCAACAAACATAAATTTCCTTATTTAAGTTTCCACGATTTTCCAGTGGACGCTGAAATACGTGCACGTTGGATTAGGGCGATCAAAAGAGAAGAGGGCCCGAGTTTTAAAATCCTCCGTGGGAGCACTTACGTTTGTAGTCAGCACTTTACCCCAGAGGATACATTATTTACAGTTTACATATAATTGTGCTTGTATGAAATAAACGAAGAAAATATGTCATTATAAATTTTATACAGCTTATTAGCCCATATAAATAATAAAGTATAATAAATCATACTGTTGCCATTAAAATTGCCATTTGTTATTATTGCATGTGTGGTAGTATTATACATATTGTTTGAGTCCTGAGAAATGATTACTAAATATTCATAATGAAATGTATGTGTATCTTTTTCACATCTCTAGGAAGAGCCTCACGAGCTCGACAGCCAGTTTACCAGAGAGCAAGGAAGCATTTTAGGGCTGCAGTCCTAGATGAATCTCAGGAGATGCCTGTCAAAATGAATTTGCACCTTAACCATTAAAAGAAAGAGAATATTTTTAAAACTTGTCATTGTTTTATATACATATTTGATAATAGCATTTATGTGAGATGA